GCACTCCTCGCCTGCTGAGGGAAGAAGCACCACCGAGCTTTATGAGCGCGAAGGACGTTTGGGAGACTCAGGCTTCCCGCCTGCTCTGACGTGAATGTATGTAGTTGAAGGGGCTTGGACTAGAAATCCATCATACCGCGTTTTGTGTGCGCCTGTGTGTATGTGTGAGTCGGTTGGTCGCGTAGCCAACAGTCGAGAACAGGGCGTGTCTCAGCCAACTCTTCTTTTCTCATCGGAGGCCTGGAGAAGTGGGAGCGGAAGTGCGACCGGAAGCGGGAGCAACCCGAGACGAGGTCCCGCGAGTCGTGCAGTGAGCAGAACCTTTAAGATGAGGGGTTGCAGGCTGGACGGCTAGGCGGCCAGGTGAGGCTACTGTCTGGTGTTGCTGTGGCCATTACTTGGGCAGTGGCGTGGGATTTAGGCTTGCATTAGCAACTGAGCTGATCCCATTCTTCTGCCAGTGGTACTACATGCCTGTGCAGCCAATTGCAGCCACACACTTCTCATGTCTGGTTTCCTGCGCTCAGGTTCGGGAGCCAAGTCCTCAGCCTTCCAACCAGTGCGAAGCGCTTTAATGCTACATGCTGCATGCATCTGGAAATCCGTGCAATCCGACGTCAGTAATGGAACGTGCATTCCTATCACTTGTGACTTTTGCATGTTTTGTCTCCTACACGAGCACAAGGCTTCCGGGTCTACGGACATGCAGGGACCTCGTCCTTCTGCAGCTGCTGAACATATGCAGAATAACTTCGCCGTCGACGAATTATGACTCGCTCGTTCCTTGTAAATTTACCAGAAATTGCAAGCGAATAGTTGCAGCAAAATTTCGAGCCAGCAATCTGGGCGCGGTCCTGACTCGCTGGCCACAGGCCACTTGATGAGCCACTTCGACGCCCACCTGGTTTGGCCAAGAGCTCGGTAGAAGATCTAGGGTGCAGATTGCACAAACCGCAATAATTTCATCGCGCTTTGGACAACACCCAAATAATCCCGTGAAGCCAAATTGCAGTAAACAGTGGTGCTAGTAGTAGTAGTCGTAGTAGCAGCAGTAGTAGCAGTGGCAGTAGCAGTAGCAGTAGCAGTAGCAGTAGCAGTAGCAGTAGCAGTAGCAGTAGCAGTAGCAGTAGGAGTAGGAGTAGGAGTAGGAGTAGGAGTAGGAGTAGGAGTAGGAGTAGGAGTAGGAGGAGTCGTCGTCGTCGTAGTAGTAGTAGTAGGATTTCATGGTATTCAGTAGTATTCAGTAGTATTTAGTAGTATTTAGTAGCTTGAAAGAGGACAAGACGCCCTTTAAATGTAGTCTTGCCCCCTTTAAAAGTAGTCTTCGAAGCACTTTTTGAAATTTTAGATCTCCAGACGGTGTTGCCTTTAATCGTGGGGGGTTTTCTGCAAAAAACGATCCTTATTTGGGTGCTGCCTTTAAAGTAGTACAGATTGGGGCCGGAGCCGCCCGCAGGCCGCCTTTAATCGTAGGGGGATTATTAATCCTAGGTCAACATTAATGTAGGAACCTGATTAAGAAACCCTGGGCCTTTATTATACTATCTTTGGGTTATAGGCCCAGGGTTTCTTAATCAGTTTCCTACATCAGCTTGTAGACAATGGCTTCCTGACTGGCCGGCCCGAGCCCAAGATGTTTTACTGCACTGCACGTGCACGTTGGCGCGACAGCCTCCTCTTCGCCTTGTTTCGGATTCTTCCAGCCTCAACCAGCAGAACCTGCATCCCCTGCCCCTTCCGGGACCCAGGACTTGCAAGTCATGGTCCGATAACAACGTCTCCCGAGACCTGACATGGCACTGGCGAGCGCTGCATTTGTGAGTCTTAAGGAAGAGATCGATGAAGGACTCTCCTGCGTGTCTAGAGGCTAGTGTATATTGCGATGCTGCCTCCTGAAGCTAGGCTTGGAGCCGCAAGCGCGTGTTGTTGAAAGCAGAGAAGTAACTAGAGGGTCGAGCTGCGCGTCGACGTTTAAGTGGTTTGGCGTGCATCGTTCCATGTTTCAATCTCCCTGCAGTCAGTGCCTTTTGCTCTCCCCCGCTCCCTCTCTCTCTCTCTCTCTCTCTTGTCTCTCTCTCTCTCTCGTCTCTCTCTCTCTCTCTCTCAATCTGTCTGTCGCTCTCTCTCATCTTCATGCCCTAGATCTTGAGGCCCACCCACGACCATTGAGCATCTGTAGTTCGCAAGAAGTCGTCGCTGAAGAGCCAGTGCCGTCCGTCCAGCTATGTCCTCTCTCTGTCAAGCGCTCCGTGTCTCTCCTCATTGGACAGACCGGCCATGCTCTACTGCTTAGCCGTGACGCAGGAGATGTGGCTTCAACGCTCAAGGAGTGCTGCAGCCTTGCCAAATCTTGCCAACAATCACTAGCTGCTCCTCTAGCTTCGACGTCTTTTTGGTAGCCGTGAACGAATCCGAGGGCCGTAAATTTCATGCGGGAGACTGCATGCTCAACCATCTTTTGCCGTCCAGCACATGGGTGTCGGTCAGAATTATAGGATACAATAGAGAGGTAGGAGAAACAGTCATCTACCATCTCCATGGCCTGACGTGCTGGAGTTCCTTGTCCAGTCACTGTTCTGTTGGCTGCTCAAACGCTCTGTATATATATATATATATATGTATATCCACATACCTACATATACACATTTGTTCATTCAGTCGTTCATGTTCAGCAATGCAGGATACAAAAATTGGTTAATTTATGTTGTTATGTAATGCGGCAATGCGTATGCATTATAAAACAAGTGATGTATTTGTTTATTTGTGCACTGGTTCGTCTGTTTAGATAGGTTAGTATGTACAAGTATACATACATGAAATGAATGAACGGACTAAATGAGATGAATGAATGAATATCTTAGAACAGATCACTTCACAAAAGTCGTTGTAAACGTGACCTCAACGGGTTAATGAAGCAAAAGAACTGCATCTATCTATACGTACATATACAGAGGTATGTACACACACACATATATATACACACATATATATATATATATATTGCAAATAACATAATCTGGCTACATCTTTTGAGCAAGTATACTGTTGAAATACACGCTGGACTACGCAACGCCTTTGGCAGGCCATGTTCCCTCATGCGAAGGTTCGAACTGGCTCCGAGGCTGGGGCGTGGAGGTTTGGAAGAGATGCAGCGCGTATTGAGGGCAGTTGTGGGCATCACGTTGGAGTATGCTGGGATCTGGAGATTCGAGGCAGACATTATAGTCTCGGGTTAGAAATTGGCAAGTATTTGTTCAACTCCTCTATCGGGTATGCGGCATGCGGATCAGGAAAGACTGTCTTGCTCATCAGCGTGCGCTAGTCCTTTGCGCAAAATCGAACCGTCGAAACGTGCTGCCAGGAATCGGCTGATGCCGAAGTCAGCATGAGCACCGAGTCCGCAACAGCCGGTGGATGATTGTTGCATTGGAGGAGAGTCAGGCATACAATCGCCACCAGTGTCACTAGTGCATGGCATGGCATCATGACCACTGTCTACGGGCTGAGGCAATGACGTCGATCAGGACTTGGACTCAGCCCATCCGCAACATGTGCATCTGCAGATCTTGTATGACATGATTTGAAGTGGAAGTGTGGATGAGATTTCTTCAAGTTTAGATCAGGGCTCTCTCGATTTCCTAGCTGCAAGAGTCTCTCGGGTTTGGGTTGGGAGGCTACCCGTTCAGCCTTACCGTTTCTTGGCATGAAGTGATTCAGAAATCCGAATGTAAATCACTGCGAAACCTCCCATTATTGGTTCTCGGTCCTGACAGAGTAAAGTGAATATCGTTACTACGGCTTGCATGTAGTCATTCCGGATCAGTGATTTCATCTGGTGCTTTGGCCAAGATGTGGTAACTTTGTTTGACTTACGAACTCACCGCCATAAAAGCTTCCGAGGTAATTTAAATCACGATCTCAAGCTTCTTGGCAACACCAAGGAAGACTCGCTTACCGACCCTGAGGCCGCCGGGGCGACACTCCCTTCTTTTGGTGTGCAGACTTCCTGGAAATCCCAAAGCATGTGCTCACGGTTCCTGTTGCCACTTTCGGGGAAGGTCCTGCCAAGAGTGAACATGGCACAAGCTGCAGGTGCTGAGTCGCGTCGAGGCTTTGCAAAAAAGCACCAGGCACGACGTTTAGAGTCAGCCTTAGCTCAAGCGGGACCATGCAAGTTGAGTTTTCCAACGTTTGGCATGTCATCTGTGACAATGCGATCTAGGGAAAGGCTACCGGGACAACATGCAAGGTCTTGCAAAGGACAACAAGGGCTGGACACAAACCTGCCTTGCAGGCCCGAGCCCGAAACCACATCCCCTCCAGCTGAGTCGGGTAAGCTCCATAAACCCTGAGATCTAGAACTCTTTTGGCTCCAGCGGTCGGCTTCACCCGAACCCTGCGAGCCGAAAACGTAATATCTTGGCAATGGCTTTCCCGGCTCTACTCGAGATCCTCGTTTGGTGCTCTCTCTCTCTCTCTCTCGCTACTTTAGGCTTGCAAGGCTGCGACAGCGGAAGCAAGCCCCCGGCCAAGGACCCAACCCACGCCGTCACGCTGCGCAATGGCGTGAAGATGCCCATCCTTGCAGCAGGAACATGGCAGTACAATGACTCTGTGGCGGAGCAGGGGTAGATGCGGGGCTCAGGAAGTCTGGCAAGCACCGGGAATCCGTTTTCGTGACGACAAAGGTCCCCGGTTGCGGCATCCAGAACACCAGAGGGATGAGCGCAGACGTGTGCAAGATCTCCACCATGCCCTGGCATGGATGGAAGCCAGCCTAGCCCGACAGAGGCGACCTGCTATATACAAGGACAAATCGTGTTGCACTCATCCACAGGCCTGCGATCTTGTCCGGGCTCAGTGGGGCGTCCTCACAGACTACTACAACCAGAAGAAGCTCCGCACGATTGGTGTTTCAAACCATTGCAGCGCATGCTTCCAGTGCCTGTTTGGAAGCAAGGAGATGCTGGTGGACCAACTCCATGTGACTCCATATAGGTATGGGTGCCGATCCTCACGGATTCCGGACCTTCGCCGAGAAGCACGAGATGGTCCTGCAGGCACGGAGCCCACTGGGGAATGGCGGCCATGGCTCGACTGAAATCCTTTCAGGCAACCTTACCACATCCATCGGCAAGAAGTGCCGGAAGTCTCCTGCACAGGTGGCACTCAAGTGGATCGCCTCCCACAACGTCTCCATTGCGACGAAGTCGTCAAACAAGGAGCACTTGAAGGCCAACACGGAGATCTTTGATTTCCAGCTTAGCGATGAGGACCTTGCCAGCCTCGATGCTGCTGACTTCGCCAAGGAGGACATGCCCTCGATGCTTTGCAACGACCCCACCCCCTCGGAGGAAACAGAGATTCTGCGAGTGGTGGTCTGAAGAAATTGAGGATAACCACGGACAGCGGCCTCCTGTCGACTGGTTTCCAGCATCGAACGGACGCAAGGTCAGTTGCTGTTCACTTGTGTTGACCGTGCACTTGGCTCGGGTGATCCCGCTGATGTTAAAACCAGACCCAGACAGCAAGCGTTTTCATTGCTTTGATCAAAGATCTCCAATCTGAGCTGTCGTGCCGTGGGGCTTGCTCTGCCGAATTTTGTTGGTCGCCTCAGCACCAGGCTGTCCTTGTCTCAGCTATGGGCTTGTTCTCTGGGGGCAGGTTCCAACGTTCAGGTTTAGATTGAGTACCGTTTCGGATGCTTGAGGTGCTGAGACGCTTGCGTGTTGTCAGGGCCTGCCGGGATTGAGGGTCCGAGGTGGGTTATGTAAGTAAATTTCGGTTTGGGCCCCGAGTCGTTTTGCCAGGCTCTACCGAAGTGGTATTCCGACTGTAGCAAGGAGGAAAGGGCGCACAAAAAAAGAACTCCTTTGCCCGGGCTTGCGAGATGCAAGCTCTCAAAAACCTTCAGCACCCCGCGGGCTAGAGCTCTCACTTGTCAATAGGTTACTGGTAACTATTTCCCAGAAGCCCTGTAGGAAAGCGGCTGTCAGCCGAACTTCATGGCAACCCGGTTCTGAGACTTCCTCCCTTGTCGCCTTCTGCAGTAGCGCCCTCGACGACCGTGCCCAGAAGAGCCTTGGCAGCCTGGAGCCTGCGAAGGCAATGGAGGCCGCCGGCCGGGCCGGGACATTTCCTTTCCAGCGGCTCTGATTCAATGTACCCAGACCCCCTTTGGAGGATCCAAAAAGTAGATCCCTTAATGGGGGTTCCTATAAAGTACCCTTAGTAGTATAGGGCCCCAAATTAAGGGATCAATACTTATCAGTATCTTGTCTCTATTTCTACCAGTACGCTCTGGTCTCCATCTTGCCCCGTCACGTTTCTATGATGCACCATGTCAAGGCCTACTGTTGATGATACAAAGCCTGTATTACCTTAAGGACCTAAACTATGGGAATGATGGCATATTCCTTATTATGGGTAATGCAGGGTTTATATCATCAACCGTAGAAATTGGACGAGTAGCTGAAGTGATCAGAATGACGCGCTGTTCCGGGACACACCATCATGTCAAATAGCGGGATTTTGGATGCATGCATGTCTTACACACAGTTCTTGGGTGATTTAAGATGTTCTGTGAGCTTTTGACCTTCTGACTTGAGGTGAAGCTGCTGCCATGTTTCGGCCCCCGTGGTAATCTTCTGTTCTTTGCGTTTCTGAAAGCCTGGTTGGGTTCGCAAGAAGCAAAAGCAGTTCGCTTTTGGCACGCCTTCATGACACTCTGAAGCGAAAACACGCCGGCTTTGCACAAGAGGGGGTTCACAAAGTTCGACGACAAGATGTGGCCCACGTGATGCACTGAAGCGAGAATGCGAGCTTTTCTCACAGGACGATGCTGCGGCCACAACGGGCAGCTGACAGTGTAAGAAACCACGCTTTTTCCCTGCTCTGAACCATATATCAAAATTTCTGAAGCCTCTCAGACCAGGACCTACGTTTCCGACTTACTTTTTCAAACGCATCCAGGGTTTCCCAAGGAAAATTCGAAATTGCTTGTCGAACACCTTATTTAAATTTCCACTAAGTTTTATTTCTCAGAACCCAGTTGTTTAAATGACAACTAGAACGTAAGAGTTCCAGGATTCTCTGAACATTTTTGAACTTTCAATATCTACTTGTTTCTGTTCAACAGTTTCCAGGATTTGGGGTCGAAAGCTTTTTAAAGTCTAATGCCGACAACTCAATTTTGTGATGTTGCTTCAGCATGAAAATAGTTAAATTTTGAATAGCAGCGGTGTGGTTATCACGCATGTTATAAAATGGTACGAAACTCTGGATCTGTTTAAGTAAGTTATTGAAATTCGCAGCCGTTGCTTATTTTAAGGAATTTCACTACTACTTGTTGAACGTTTTTTGAAGGTGGCAAAACGTCTCATTAACTTCGAGGGTTTCTACAGTATCTGATATTCGATGGAACATTCTTATGTTGATGAACTGTTGACATAACTACATGATCAATATGCATATATATATATATATGTGTAGATCTTTAGGTATATGTAGATATGTAGTAGAAGTTTAACTTTACAGGTATATAGGTACGCTTGTATGCTGCAAGCATGCATGTGCCTTTGTATCTATGTATCTAATCATCTGTATATTGTATGCACGTAAGTAGGTCAATTTGAACTCAGTTTATGATCACCTTTGCCAGTTGCATAGGGTGGCGTTGCTTGCACAATGGTTTCGTGCAATATTAATTATGCAACGCGAAGTGTGCTGTTATCTGCAACACGGGTATCGGCAGCCATCTTTCGATCTCTAATGCTAGGTTCTGCATTATTCGCTTTGCCATGCCCCGGTGTTGTTCGGCTATGCTCAGATATGCTAAGAGCCATTGTATGCTAAGACGTTCGGTATCATGTGGTACAAGGTGTTGTGTCATGTTTTCGCGACCTTATGTTTACAAGCTGCCTACCAAAGCCATGTTATGTTGTGAACTGCCTTCTGTTTGTTTTGTGGCTTTGCTGCGTTCGGTGTTGTTGTGCAAGCAAAGCATAGCAAAGCGGCGGGCCGCTATGTGGTTGTAATGCCGGTTGAAGCAAAAAATAGGTAAGATGGATAGATGTGCTTGCTGTAGCACAAAATGCCAGACACACATATGCCGGCATTTGTGGCAAGGTTCTACAGAAGGTGGAAGAGTTGGTGGAGGCCCAGGGGGGAGAATGCTGGCACCTCAGCGGTGAAGTTGCATTCCGATTCCGATGTGTTACGGAGCGACTTGGAAATGTGCAATGACTTGCAACATGGCCCTGTCAGCAAGAAAAGTGCACTACATTCGGGCGATTTCCCGCAGCTCCAAAGAATTGCGCCAACGTCTGACTTTGATGCAAACCAAGTGTCAGTATCATCACCTTCTACGAGCCCAGACACTGTGGTATCGGGAGACCTCCGAACCCCCCAACCATTGCCGGGCACACCTCGAGATCTGCAGTTTGAAAGCTTGTTGGCCTCGTCGTTCTCTGCCCTGCTTTGCTAGGTCGCAACCTTTCCTCGATGCTGCAATCGGTTGGGGGCCTCAGTGATGTAACTGCTGCCTTGCCAACTGCGGTGCATGCTCTTCCCGATCCGATACAAACGTAAGCCTGCCCCGAGGTATGTCGTAAGATGGAACGGAAGATGCTCTCGGACGCCAAGGCCTTGCTCCATTTGTTCTTGGGATAACTACTCTCGCCTGTGTTGGGTTTTCCAGGGAGAAAGCTGCAGCGTGCACGGCTTCGTATTATGTGAACAATGTGCCTCAATTCCCAACAGTCCTTTCCTGATGAGGCAAAGACGCTGGAGGTCGGGCTGCAAACGCCAAGTCTGAGAGAGACAAGGGGTGGAACCTCGACATCTCAAAGTCTTGTTCAAACTATAATGTATAGTATATAATATATAACATATCATATATAGTATATCATACAATAATCTATAATTTAGAGGTTGCTAGCGTGGGTTCAAAGCGCTGGAACCCTCAATGCATTGGAACTCATATAATGGCGGTTGCTGAGTGTCATTGTGTGTGCGTTGTTGACATTTGGGGACACAGCGCCAAGGACAAAATCAAGTGCCTGTCGTTTTCCTTGGGATACTGGGCTGACAGGGCTGCGTCTTGCCGGCTCATCAATAATTAATGAGGCAGAGCATGTCAGTGAAGCGTGTGAAAGCGGCATCATGCGCAGGTGAATCCGGGCACAGACCAAGCTGCCTCTGTCAGGCAAGACCTGGACAGTCCATGTCGGAGAGCAAAACTGTAGTACAAAGATCCATGGTCCATGGAGGTACAGAAACCTGCGTCTGTGTCAGTGCTGTACCCCCAGCCCCGCAGAGCCCACTCACAGCTCCTGCAGGCCAACGGCAGAGGAAAGCATTGCCCTCAGCAAACGCTTGGCATGTGCAGCAGCGACTCATTTGAGTACAGTCTTATTCTTCTTCGTAGACTGAGGCAAGGAGTACTGGACGGTCTCGGGCTCAGTGACCTTACGTGAGGTATCACGGTCATCTGAGAAGCATTGCGCAAGCAAGCGGCAGGCACAATGACTCGACATGCAAGTGAAGGTTTGAGCTGCATGCACAAAACTTTCAACATGAACAGAATCCCTCCGTCGATGAAAAGCCTGCGTCCAACAATTTAGATCGTTTGCAAACCTGGAGACCGGTGATGCGCTCGACGGTTGCAGTGCATAGAGCTGCACAAGCTTGGGTACCTGGCCAGTCCTAGCATCTTATTATGTTCAGGGTCAACTAGGAGCACGGCTCCGTGCTGACCAAGGTGAAGCGCATCGAGAAAGCAGCTGAGCCCATCGCTGAGAGAACAACTTCTCCAAATCCCGCCGATGTTGCAGGAGTATGTCACGGGTGAATCTCTTGGCTTCGAGTTGACAAAGGGACTCGGGTTTCGTGGCGTCCAAAAATCCAAAAGGCCCCCCCCCATAAAGAGCTTCGAAGTTAGAGTTGTATAAACAAAAGCAATACTAAATTTAATCGTAGCCTAGTAGTAGTAGTAGCAGTAGTAGTAGTAGTAGCAGCAGCAGCAGCAGCAGTAGTAGTAGTGTGGTTCTGCGCTTGTTGACTCAGGCGAGCCTTCGAGACATGGTACGAGGGAGACCGATGGCGGCTGAAGTTTTCCATGGCAGGCCACCGCCTTTAAGGGCCCTCCGAGGTAAGCGCCCCATGATGATTTGAGTCTTTCAGTGCAGATGTTGATTTGCCTGATAGCTGCAACTTTCGATCTACCGCAGTGGTGCAGGCATCCTGTGTGCATCGAATACAACTGCCCATTGTTCATCAGGTAGTGCCAGTTTGCATTCGAAGGTCATCGATGCATCGGGTTGAAGTGCAACAGACTAGCTCCTGTAGTGTTTCATAGAGTGTGTCGTGTGCCTTCGGCATTGAAGAACTTCGGATGCTCCTGACACTTCAGCGACTTAGCGACGGTGACTTTTGCTCTGGTGTTACTTGTGGCAGCTAGCGCTGCTGTCGCACAAGGGCTTGCGCGTATGTATTGGGTTTTATTATGGGGATACTAGTAATATAGACCATACGCTACATCAAAACGGCATTCGAAGCTGTAGGAGAACAGACGCCAGTAGCATCACGCGGCCGGACAGGCCTAGACCCTTCGTTGCCTGGCACCAAGCTTATCTCTGGCTGGGGCCCAGCCTGGTCCTCCTTTCATGCCCTGTCCTGGTGACGGACCACGAACACACGCTCCAGTTGTAGAAGGGCTTCTGTGCAACTCATATGCGAGATTATACGAGTGCCAAGGTCAGATATTGCAATGGAGAGGTGCATGGCGTGGCTGCGACGACGTCTAGCGGAGTTCAAGGACGGGAAGAGCACTTGTTGTACCAGAAGCTTTTTGAAGGCTGCTCTGCAAGTTAACAGCTTCGCGAGACTGTAAGATCGGGGCCCTGGTGCACTTGTCGACCGAGCAGGCTGTTTGTTGGACGCGGACGTCGTTCTGACACCGTGACACCCGAAAGCTGCGTTGCAGGATGCGAGTGGTCCCAAGGTTCTTCGTCAATGCCGGGCCGAGGTTGCGACGGGCTCATGTGGGCAGCTCTCACGAGAAGCCCCCCCACCGGCCCCACCGATCCTCGGCCCATTCATCTTTCCGCCTTTGGCTGGAAGAGGAAGTACCCGTGCATTCTGCCCGCAGCAGTGAGTGGTCCAAGACCGAACTCTCCGCATCTCTCTGGTAGGACAGGGACCCGAAGGTTTCCATCTCTCTCGCCCATGGCCTTCGACAATGAAAGCTTTGACACCATCGACATCTCGTCTGGCGAGGTTTCTGGTTGCTTGCTACATCTTTTAACCCAGAAGCTTGGTGCTTGCTCCCGATTGGCAACATTCCAGACTGGCTGCCCCGTCATCTCCTGTCAGGAGACCGAGAAATGCCAACTGCCTCGAGTTTATGGAGCTTGCTACGCCGCCAGGCATGGGCAGCGGCAAAGCGGCAGTTCCGGTGTCCGGTCAGGGCTTCCAGTCATTGCATGCATCTGACAGGTGCCGCTTGCTAGCCGAGGCAAGGGGCTCATATCATTCTTCCGCAAGCAGAATCAAATAGACCCAGCCCGCGGTTCCCTAGCACACACTTCAAGTTCTAGGTGAAGCAGCAGCCTTTACCAACATAACGGCTTGGTAGGGCATCTGCACGTACTCGTAGCCTTAAAGATGCTGGAAATGGACATGCCAGCCTGACAGCCCAACTTTATGTGACAAGAGTTCATAAGCAACAGGTCAAACCATTAAGCTATGTTTCCTTCCCGCGACGTTCACATGCTGACTGCTATTCGGACGGTTCGAGGGTGATGTTGGACTACATGGTGCGTGGCATCCTCATCAAAACTTCAACTGTTTAGGTTCAGCCCATGTTGCGAGCATTTATGTTGCAAATCCTGCACGCGATACTGCCAAAATTTATGTAATCAGCATCGTCGAAGCTCACATGCCGTTGCAACTTCGGGAGGCGAAGTTTGCCAGTTCCACTGTTGCAACGACCAGCATGGTTTTGGTCTCTCGTGCCAAGCTTTTCCAACGAGTAGAGCTACTACCATGCTGACTATGCTCAGTGAGAATTTCTGTCATGCTGATGCTGGACTCTGCCTCCTAGCTCGGTTGCATTGGGCTGCCCTCGATATGACAGGCTTTGACTGGCCGTATCATTACTAGCAGCAAAGTCATGGTGCCGGTGCTTATCGCATTGTTCATGCTTGGACTGTTGACGAGTGTGCTGAGGTGATCACTATGAAATAGTGTTGTCATGTGGGTGAGGTCAGCACCACTAGCATCATTCGTTTCGAATCCTGCGACCACGTAGCTTTGCATGATAGGTGTTGGCACCTTACAAAAATGATCATCCGGCATGTGACGAATGTTGCGATGCAGACTGATATTACTACACAGGTCCGTTATATTGCCAGGACTTGCATAAGTATCCTCTGACGATCACTAGTGTTCGGATTCTTCTCCTCAAGTTTTCACGTGCACGAACTGCAGGTGCCTATGGCCCATGAGCTGTTTTGGCTGAAGCGGCAGGCAAGGCCGACATTTGGACTACTGCTTCTCTTCGAAGCGGGCAAAGAACCCTAGTATGATTCGTGCCGAAGTATGCTCTTTCACATATGCAAGTACTGGATTGAGTTTCTACACACGTGATGTATGAGATTCCAATGTGTTGGGCTGCGGACGATGTTTTTGGGCATTTGTATGGCTGTGTCTCTGGAATCCGAGCCTGAGGTCAACTGTTGAAGCTCCTCCTATCCTTGTTGCGTCAGGCGCGACGAGCAGTCCTCAAGCGTCTAGCCAAGGAAGCTGCGGAATTCGGGCCGGCACTGCGTCGAAAGGCCCGAGTGTTCGAGAGCTTTCCTCCGGATGCCGGGACGCCGCCAAAAAAGTAAAGATGTCGAAGATGCCACAATCTACGCATCTGCCACAGCCCGAAGCCTGGCATCCCGAAGCACGAAGCTGAGAAGAAGACATTGACATGACCATAACAGTTCTGACCGGTATTTCAACTCATCATGAGCCTTGCTTGTAGGCGGCAGAACTGCGGGCGAGCGCGGCACGACAGCGACTGCAGATGCTCCGGTCTGGGCAGGCTGGGCTTCAGCAATTTGGCTTGTGCTGGAAGGGGGGGGTGAGTTGCAGCACATGTTCCATCCTGAACACTCGCAGACCCAACTGAGTGACTCGGCACGCTAGAGTATAGTAGCTAGAGGCTTGAGTACCTTGCCCTCTCGCGTCGTTCTTTGATCGAGAAAGTGCTTATCTCGCACGTGGTTGTACCGCCTCACGGCTGCCCCTGCGCGCGAGGTAAAGTCCAACCAAAACAACGTGTCACGTTCGTGTCACTTATGTCGCTCTCTGAGTTTTCTCCACGTTTCAGCCTACACCCTTCGGCCCCTCACCCCATCGATTTTCTTTAACATTTCAATATGTTCTGGGTGGGCAAAGCATGTGGGGCCGGGGCTCGAGGACACAGATCACCTTCAATCAGCGAGACATTGAAGAATTTATGACGGCAATCAAGGAGCAATTGAGGAGGGTTAATCTGCAGCGCGAGGTGGAGCAGTATGAAGCTCTTCTGTCGGAGACGAAGGACAGGCTCTTTGAACGCTCTTAGATTAGCTGGGCATGTGTCCGTGGTCGCAACAGGACAAGCGGGTGCAGGAAGTCTTGGAAGAGACCAACCGCATCATGGCGGAGATCGGGCCAGCGTCACCCAAGCGTCTTGGTGCGAGATAGTCTGAGAACGTCTGCAGGCGCACAATAACTTAAGTGCTCGAGCGCGCCTTCTTCTGCTTATGCTGCTGGTACCACGGTGTCCACCGGAGTAACTTACCATACACAGGTTAGCACGAGTCCATGAATTGTGCGGCAGCTTCCGCGTCTTTTCTCCTCCCGCAGTCGAACTAGCACCAGAATCACTAGAAGTAGAGGTAGCGGTGGCAGCAGTAGTAGTAGTAGTAGTAGTAGTAGTAGTAGTGGTGGTCGTAGTAGTAGTAGAAGTAGTAGTAGTAGTAGTAGTAGTAGTAGTAGTAGTAGTAGTAGTAGTAGTAGTGGTAGTGGTAGTGGTAGTAGTAGTAGTAGTAGCAGTAGTAGAAGCAGTAGTAAAGGCAGTAGAAGGAGTAGTAGCAGTATCAGTAGCAGCAGCAGTAGCAGCAGCACCAGCAGTAGTAGCAGTAGCTGTAGCAGCAGGTGTAGCTGAGTCGCTGTAGCGTAGTAGCTGCAGCCGTCGTAGTAGTAGTAGTAGTAGTAGTAGTAGGAGGTAGGTATTTCGGCAGGGAGGTAGGTAGGTAGGTAGGTAGGAGTAGGAGTAGTAGTAGTAGTAGTAGTAGAAGTAGTAGTAGTAGTAGTAGTAGTAGTAGTAGTAGTAGTAGTAGTAGTAGCAGGAGTAGTAGTAGTAGTAGTAGCAGCAGTAGTAGTAGTAGTAGTAGTAGTGGTAGTAGTGGTAGTAGTAGTAGTAGTGGTAGTAGTAGTAGTAGTAGTAGTAGTGGTAGTGGTAGTGGCAGTGGCAGTGGTAGTAGTAGTAGTAGTAGTAGTAGTAGTTGTTGTTGTTGTTGGTACAGACAAAAACAGCAGCCCGTACTTGTTGTTAATTAGAAGCAATTGGGAATGCTTCCGGCGACCGCATAGGGTGCCTGTAGAGTTCTGGGAAGTGCAAGCCATGCTTTACACAGCAACTGCCCTATGATAAAAATGCGGTGTAGGCTGGGTGGTTGTTGTAACAGGGGGGGGTCAAAACAACAGACGGGGCTCCAGTTTTTGCCTCTACTACAGGGGGTAGAGACAAAGGCACACGCGAAATCAGGACTTTGTCTCTACCCCCTGTAGTAGAGGCAAAAACTGGAGCCCCGTCTGTTGTTTCGACCCCCCCCTTTACAACAACCGCCCACACTACACCACATTTCCACCACAGGTATAGGAATCTGCGATATCCAGAAGGGGTTCTTATGGGTGTTGGAAGGGCTTGTCTGGAATTTTGAGGGGTTTGCATTGGATACTCGTACACTCAAAAACTATACGTAGTTACCAAGGCAGTATACAGTAGTTTGTACAGGCCTCGCAAATAATCTGCACAGCGGGGAACTGAATTTCACACCAAATCCACTGAAATACACACCAAATCCATTGAAATACGCACGAAATCCATTGAAATACACACGAGATCCATTGAAATACACCCGAAATCCATTGAAATTCTCACCAAATCCATTGAAATACACACCAACTCCATTGAAATAGGCACGAAATCCACTGAAACACACGCGAAATCCACTGAAATACACACGAAGTCCACTGAAATACACGTGAAATCCACTGAAATACACACGAAATCCATTGAAATACACGCGAAATCCACTGAAATACACGTGAAATCCACTGAAATACGCACGAAATCCATTGAAATACACACGAAATCCTCTGAAATACGCACCAAACAGTATACATCACAGGCATCCACAGGCACTGTGTTGTTGTTGTTGTTGTTGGGGGGGGGGTAAAACAACATGACGGGGCTCCTGTTTTTGTCTCTACCTAATGTACAGACAAAAAGCAGATATATGGGTTGACGGGGCTGCAGTTTTTGTTTGTACCTTGTTGTTGTTGTTGTTGTTATTGTTGTTGCCGTTGTCGTCGTCGCCGTCGTCGCTCCATGCTTCTAACTTGTTTGCAGCATCCGTCGTTATCCCGCACCATGCTCTCAAACCCCCTTGTCAAGCGACGCCTGGTGTTCCGACTCAAGGTTGGACGAGAAGGTCGGACAGCCACGGTCCCTGCAGCAGCTTGACTGGCCTGGTAGAGTGGTTCCTGAATGATCGGTATTCCTGGGTAAACGGTGAGTGTTTCCTGCACCACACATGTGCGGGTGAAACTTGCATTTGTGAACTAAGCCATGCCATTCGAGCGAACGAAGCGTGCCCACCCCTGCAGTCTCGTGGTGCATGAGGTGAGGGTCAAAGAGGCCTGCATGCACATCGGTGTTCATTGTCAAGTTTCCAGGCATGGGCAATTGATGCCCCATCAGCTGGCTGGACTGCGCTGGTTGGCCAGGCTGTGGGTGGGGAAAGCTGGAAGAAGTCGGGGAGCTTTCTCAAGATCACAGCTCTCTCCAAACAAGAAAAGGTATCAGAGCTGCCGGCCCGATTTCGCACCATTCAATGCAAACCACAGCCGCTAGTTACCGCTGGTTTTTGAGGGTCGATGCGTGCCCTGACTGAGGGTGGGGTTGCTGCAGGTTGGTGGATCATCGGATGAGTGGCATCCTGGCAGATGACATGGGCCTTGGAAAAACTGCCCCTTGCATGAGAACAGCAGTGTTGGGTCTTTTAGGTGTGGACTCACTTTAAGCAGGTTGACCGCCTGATGTTGATTGCTACCTGCAGCTTACGTTCAGGACTAGATGCCTCAGTTGTGCACTGGAGCTGAGACTCAGAGTCCAAACGCAAGCAATGGAAACCCCACACTTGACAGAAGCAGGCGCTGTGAGTCCAAAGCCACAAATGCGACTTTCCAGCGCAAGAGGTAAACCAAATGCAGAAGACTCATGCTCAAGTCAAAAGCCTTGAGTGTTCGACATGCCTTGGGGAGGTTCAATCACTTTCGCTGCTCGCTTTTCTGGCCGACAGCCGCGATCAGCAAGGACCGGCTAGAGCCAGGGTTCATTTACTTGCACGAGTAGGCTCATTCCTCCGTGTTCTCTCTCCCGATCCATGTCCAGCTCCCTTGCTCTGTCTGTCTCTCTCTCTCTCTCTCTCTCTCTCTCTCTCTCTCTCTCTCTCTCTCTCTCTCTCTCTCTCTCACACGCACACTCTCTTTCTGTCTGTCTGTCTGTCTGTCTGTCTGTCGCGCTCTCTCTCTCTCTCTCTCTCTCTCTCTCTCTCTCTCTCTCTCTGTCTGTTTCCATGATTTGCTCCAAAATGCCAAGTATATAAACAGTGTGTAGTGTATATATATATATATACATACACCCATACATGCGTACGTACATTGCATAAATATGTACATACCTATACGTACACACAGGACAGATTGCTATAAAGGCAAGCAGCTGACACATGCAGAAGGACAAAGCATTAAAAACGGCATGCTGATTAGCAGTAGGCAATGTGTATGCAGGAGTTCCAGGGCATGTGTCAATCCTCATCCCTGAAAGCCGAAACCACAGCGGCGACGTCTTGATTAAGCAGGTGATTTAGGTTCACGTCTGGCAGACTCTTCATAGCAACACACTCACCAAGGCCGTTCGAGTTGTGAGAATCGAACCCCCCCAGCCTACCCTGCAAGCTGCTACTGTATCCAAGCAGCCTTGGCCAGGGCCACACTTGGTGGTGGCGCCACTGAGCACTCTTCAAAACTGGGTTGACGAGATCATGCAGTGGGTCCCAAGCCACGGCCTCAGCTCTGCCTTCGATTGCGGCTTGATGCGGATGACTCTTCGAGCAGTGAAGTTCACCTGGATTTGCAAGGCTTCCGCTACCTTGTCTACCGTGGCAGTGAGCGGAACCTATCTGCTGCCGAGAAGGCCATAATGTCGCCAGACCAGAATCACAACATCAACCTGGTTCTCACTACCTATGAGACTGTGGCAAGCCGCTTCACATTCCTGGGCCACTATCCTTGGTATTGCGTTGTCGTGGACGAGGGACACCGTGGCTTCGCGGCACTTGGCTTGGCCTGCCCCAAGAGCACCCTTTCACTCTCTGTCTCTGCTTCTGCCTCTGCACAGTCTCCGTGCAATCAACAGTCGCTCTCGCGCCGGCTGCGTTCACAGACCAGCTATAGCACACAACTCCCATGATCCGGTGTATCCGTTCAAGGCATCAAGAACTTCCATGCTCGCAGCAGCCAGGCGGTGAGGTGCCGGTACATTCAGCTTGGAACCAGGGTAGATAAGTTTCGAGCGTGGCAAACAGCAACGGCTGCGTTGTCAAAGTACTTGTCGGGTGCCATGGAGAACATGCTTCGACAATGGTGTCTACATCATTCAGCTCCAGCTAACCGTCTAACCCTACTCATGGCGTATCTCCCGTTTGAGTTCTTAGGCTTCAGTACTCTCCCATCCAACACTACTGTAGTCACTTAGTCGACTCTTAGACGACTGCGACTGGCAGGCGCCTGCCGTGTCAGCACCGCTTGCTTTTGACTGGAACGCCGATCCAGAACTCACTGCGAGCCTGGCCCGCAATGCCACTTCAGACTAACGAAACCCCACCAGCAGCTACAAGCTATAGTGGGCAGGCATGAAGCTCCAGTAGGTATGACCTGCACTAAGCTCGTCGACACATGCTTTCCTCATGTTTCTTCTCAGGCAATGTATTGCAAGCGCCTTGTTCCTGTGGGAACAATCAACAGATCTGCGTCCGTCTTTGCGTTGTAGAATTAGTCCACTGGATCTGTGGCACTTCCGCGTCTAGAACCCATGGAATAGAGGGTTCGGGCAAAGTTTGGCCGTCCTTCTGTTGGGGCCACGGACTACAGTGCTGATACATTGTAAGATTTTGTCCTAGTTCCCGACGCTGCAACTTTGGGACCGATGAACCAGTTTCTAAAGCTGTCGAGCTTTAGGAGAACACCGTGCTTGGACTTACCTCTAGCTGCTAGCTTGGTTTGAGGTGGTTTCATGCCATGGAAACAACAAAAGCATGCAGAACCCGAAAGCCCGTGATTTCGCTGGACTGCTCCAGGAGAACTTTGGAGCCTCTTGTCCTTCGTGGCTCCGGCCGCCTTCAACTCCCTGGAGAACTTTGAGCAGTGGTTTGCTTTGCCGCCCCCGCCGTCTGCACATTGGTCGAAGTTCAGTCGCCGTCTTCAAGGCAAAGAGGGAAATAGTTTGGGAATTGCCTGAGCGTTGAAAAACGCACCTGGCTCACTTATTTGCTCAGTGGACTTAATATACGACGAGCTACTACCGTAAACGCTCTCAGTTCCTATTGGTTATGCTGGTGCTTGTGCTGGTATGGATTACACCTATTCCTGCCTTTGATCATAACCAGAATAGTCGTCGTCATCACCATCATCACCATCTATACTCATCGTCGTTGTGGTATGTGGTGGTAGGCATCGCAGCATGCGAGGCGGCAAGAGTCGTAGCAGCAACAGCAGCAGTCGCAGTCGTCATTGTCGACATGGTGATGGCCGGGGTTGCCAATTTGTGGTTGTGGCCGTTGTGGTGGTTGTTGCTCTTGTTGCTGCTGCTGCTGCTGCTGCTGCTGCTGCTGCTGCTGCTGCTGCTGCTGGTGTTGTTGTTGTTGTTGTTGTTGTTGTTGTTGTTGTTGTTGTTGTTGTTGTTGTTGTTGTTGTTGTTGTTGTTGTTGTTGTTGTTGTTGTTGTTGTTGTTGTTGTTGTTGTTGTTGTTGTTGTTGTTGTTGTTGTTGTTGTTGTTGTTGTTGTTGTTGTTGTTGTTGTTGTTGTTGTTGTTGTTGTTGTTGTTGTTGTTGTTGTTGTTGTTGTTGTTGTTGTTGTTGTTGTTGTTGTTGTTGTTGTTGTTGTTGTTGTTGTTGTTGTTGTTGTTGTTGTTGTTGTTGTTGTTGTTTGTTGTTGTTGTTGTTTGTTGTTGTTGTTTGTTGTTGTTGTTGTTGTTGTTGTTGTTGTTGTTGTTGTTGTTGTTGTTGTTGTTGTTGTTGTTGTTGTTGTTGTTGTTGTTGTTGTTGTTGTTGTTGTTGTTGTTGTTCGTGCTTCTTGCTGTTGGTGCTGTTGTCGTTGTCATTGTTGGTGCTGTTGCGGTTGTGGTTGTGGTGGTTGTGGTTGTTGCGGGTGTTGTTGTTGTTGTTGTTGTTGTTGTTGTCGTTGCGGTGTGCTGTTGTCGTGGTTGTGGTTGTTGTTGGTGTTGTTGCTGTTGCCGCCAAGAGAAGATCTCCATGCGCCAGGCAGGTCCTGTGCTGAAGCGCGAGTATGATGGTTCCAAATTGGAACGCGCGTTTACCTTACTGACTATCTCCACCGAGTCGTTAAGCATAGAAACCAGTTCTAGGATTCTAGGACAAAGCCAGCTTACAAAAAAAAACACTGTATGTACTGAAGGTGCTTTTTCCATATTTCATATCTCCAGCAAGTCCTGCAGTGTAGAAAAGCAGGCGCTGCAGTATTATCACAAAACAGATTAATTCCGTTGGGTTTTGCGATGGAGGCCATGGGCTTTATGAACGAAGTTTTGGGGTTAAGAGTTTAGGGCTTATGGTTGAGGATGTATGCCCGAAGTTCCAACTCTTTCTCCCTCTACTTGGGGACAGGGTGGGGATGCTTGAAGTGATCACTGCTTGCTGCTATTTGTTGGCTCTGTGTCGCCGTCGTTGCTGTGATTGTTGTGGTGGTTGGTGTTTGTGTTTGTTGTGTGTTGTTGTTCTTGGTCTTATTCTTGCTGTTGTTGGTCGTGGTAGTGTTGGTGAAGGTGCTGTGTTTCTTGTGGAAAGTTCCACTTACGGCCACCACGGGAAGCCCAAGTCTCAGGTCCGCCTGGGAGCCGAGGCGGAGGAGGCCGAGGTGAGCCAGCTGCTCTCTGAAGAGGAGTGCTCGGGCTTAGGACCAAAGGCTTGAGCCGTGCAGAAAAGCATTGAAGACAGGGAGCCAAGAGGGACGGCTGAGTACCTGCATTGATTCAAGACGTCTCCCTGCATTCTGTCCGCAGGATGGTGATGGTGTCGATGTAGATGTTGATGATAGAACCGGGCATTTGTGCAATCGGGGCATTGGGCACCATGGCCCAGTCGGCAAGATCTGCAGGTCACATCACTGGTCGGCTAGCGTGCACAAATACCGGGTCTCGGTTTTCACTTCGGGACGCGATGCGACGGCCTTGACGGCGCTCATCGGTATGTAGTGTGGCACGGGTTCAGAAGTTGCAAAGTAAGTACGTACTCGCTGCTTGAGAGCTGCAGGACTCGCAACCTGACTCAGCTTGTATCTTCGAATCGAAGGCTGCAGCGAATCGTGAAGTTGGGAGATATAGGGGCCTTCATAATTACCTATAGTTTGTTGAGGGCTCCTTATAACAATTATCATAAGTTTAGGGCGTCACTTGCAGGAGGAGCTGCTGATCATCCAGCGCCTGCACAAGGTGCTTCGCCCCTTCCTCCTCAGGAGGACGAAGGAACAGGTCCTCACGGAGCCTCAAGCTATGAATGTCATGTCTTGTTATTGAACTCTCTTTCTTTGTTTGAAAGCTCCGAGTTGGTAAAGGGTGCCGGGGCAGGGCCGCCTTGGAGTGTAGGCTGTGGGAAGATCCCGAAAACTTCAACCTTTGGGAGCTGCTAACTTGTATCCGATGTATCCTGCATCCTCGCTGCATCTCCGCTCAAAGGACCTTCCACCCAAGACAGAGGCAGTGATCTGGGTTCCACTGTCGTCTTGGCAGAAGGCGGGGAAACACGGAGCTCGTTTCCGACGGTTTGGCAGTGGCAGTATAGGGACGACTCTAGCCGGCGCTGCCAGGAGCTACATCGAAGCTTTCTGCGGAACAGTTGATGGCGCTTTTGGCTCTGTCTGCCCAGGTACTGTATCGGAAGGGCCTCCGCACAATCCAGCGCGTGGCAGGCTGCGTGAGCGATAGGTCTGTAGAGCCTTGCTGAAAATGAAATCGAAGCCGTCTGCATTCGCTGCTGTCCATGTGTTTGTTTGTCTCGCCTTGTGCGGATAGTTAGGGCAAAGATCCCAGATGGCCCTGCAAATGCCATTTCAATCAGCAGGCACGGCAAAGTTGAGTTCGGGCGGCGTGTCCGCCAGTGCCACGTCGGGAATGGCCTTGCGAAAGGCTGTGAATCACCCTTACCACTACCTGAGCCGCTTGGCTGACAGACTTGGAGGCTGAAGTCTGGTGAGGTCCGTGAGTTTGGGTGTCGTCCATGGGACCATGGGACACTTAAAGCAGATAGTGCCTCGAAGACCGTCTAAAAGCATGGAGTCTGGACCAGGGACAAACTCTTCTTGTGACTCATCGCGCTGGCGATTCGTTCCTTGCACATGCCAGAAGTGTCACAAGGCAAGAAGGCGGCATTGGGCCGGCCAGTGGAGGAGAGCCTGACAGTCTTTATGATGATCGCTGCAGTAAATCACAGCCACATAACATAGGCACGAAGCGTCGAATCTTCTGGAGCTCGCAGAGCGAATTTCCTGCAAGAAGGAGCTGATCCGAGCTTCGGGAAAGCTTGAGTTCTTGGACCGGTTCCTGCCGAGGACTTTCGGGGGACTCGGGGTCAAGCTTCAAGGCTTCGTATTGAGTCGTAGCCGATTTCGATTCCTGAGAGGGTTTCTCTGTTTCTGTTTCGCCGGTTGGGCAGAGGCCGATGTGCTGCGCTAATATAGAGGCCTGAAGAATTCACAAGACTAGTTTGGTGGTGCCTATTCTCTCAGTATAGCTAGTATACTGGGCCGCAACCTAATTTTTGTAGTAGCTTCCCAAAGCTCAGTCACAGTCACACAGCTGGCAAAGCTCCCTGGGCGAGGCTGGTGAAGCTGGGTCACAAGATTCTTATCTTTGCACAGCTGCGGACATCCCTGGACTTCCTTGAGAGGCTGTTGGAGCACCAGGGCTGCTCGGCTCAGGTTAGATGTTGGATGGCCTGCTACCCCTGGATAGAAGAAGCTGAGGCCTCATCCAGCTCGAAAGTCTGAAAGAAGGGAGTTGCTTTCAGTGTTGATTCCAGCGAGCCAACCGAGTATGGGTCCCAACAGGGTCCAGGAAGACGCGTTCAACATGAGCCTGTTGCAGAAGGTCATGTGATGTCCCTGGTAGAAGTGATCGAGGCCTTAAGTTCTCGCGCATCGACGGGTCCACACCCTCGGCGAGGCGTGGGGAGGCCGTTAGCAATTTCAGACGCGATGCCTCGATCACTGTTATGCTTCTAACAACGCAAGCTGGTGGCTTGGGCCTGAGCCTGAGCTGCAGGTGGTCGCAGTAGTCAACTACGAATTGCCGGTAGTCGCCAGAGATATGCCGGAATTTGGTTCCAACAGCTTCATCTGCACGGCTATGACCATGATGCCGTATGATGCTGTAGTCCGGAGCAAGATTCTGATGCGCCACCCCAATGCATGGCCCTTGCGAACTTCACGGTTTCTGCAGAAAACGGCCGCGGAGGGAAACAATACTACCTGTAGCCAGAAGATGCAGCCGAGCCTGAACGACCTGAGCTGGCAGCCAACCTACCTGCTCCCAGCTCCAGCCTGTCCGAGGAACTTGCAAGCTGCGGACACTGTGATCCTGTTCGACAGTGACTGGAATCCACAGTCCGAGCCTGGGCCTAGTCGTCACATGCCCTTTCTAGTCTTCAGGGCTTGTGTGCTGCATAATTAGTGCCAGAGCTTTCGGCATTCTGCCGGAATGCCGGGTGAATCAAGGAAAAAGCCGCAAGTTGATTTAGTTGTAGTACTGTTCCCGCTGGTGGTTGCCCTCTAAGTCTTCAAGTCTCTAAACGCACAACCCAGGACCTCAGAATTGAAGCCGCCTTGCGTCTGAGGACCTTCAAGCCTGCGATCGTGCGCATCGGATTGGCCAGACCCGGCCTGTGCTCGCGCCATGGCCGCAAAGCGTGCAAGAGCGGTTTGGGCCCGAGCCCCCGGCGGCCCCCCCTGGGATGCGTACATGAGATTTGTCGAAGCCGCGTGGGCGGATGATTTCATGAAGCCACGTGGAGCTCCTTTGCTTCAGTTTTCGGACCTGTCAGAAACTATATATATATAATTTCATATTATATATATATATATATATATATATATATGATTATATATAATTATAAATAATTATATATATATATATATATATATATATATATGAATGATGTGTATATATATATAAGTATACACACAGATATATATATATATATATATATATAGAAAACTACGGTCAGAGTGAAGCTGCCGCAGGCCGTGCGCCTCATGACGCCCACGGCCATGGACCGGGGCCTCCTGGAGCGAAGCTCCAAGAAGCTGCAGATGGAGAAGAAGGTTTGCAGTGAAGTTGGGGAGAGATGACAGGGTGGAGCGTTTCCTTGCGATGCCCATGCACGAGGAACTTTGTTTGCTTATCTGCCCAACCTCGAGCACGGAGATGCTAATGTTTAAAGTTTCACTTCAACGAGCACTGCGATACCTTTGTAATTGAAAGGCGTTCCTTCTGAAACTGACGCCACCGAAAGTTAACAAGCCTGAGCTGCTCCAGATCATCCGGGCCGGACACTTCTCTGACTCCTCTGCTGAGATGTCCAAGTCAATGCTCATGCAGTTGGTGAAGGAGGCTGTCGTGCTTGTTTCTCGAAGTGGGGATAATTACTGTTTGGAATTACTGTTCCTGCATGTTAGTACAGCCTGATGACTTGCTGGTCTCACACCCAGACAGGCACGTCAGACGAACAAGGCTGGGAGCGGCCACCGTGCCAGCAGCTTTGCAGAGATGAATCGACTGATGGCCCGGTCGGACGAGGACCCTCCACGTGGGCGAAATCCTCGGAAGACTTGCGGAAAGCTATCTCCGCTTTGCGCTGCTTCCGATGAAAGTCGAGATGGTCTCGCTCGTCATCGTAAGTCCTGTCAGAAGAAATTCCACACAGGGCCTCGGCATCCCCAAGGCAGTGCCGGTAGACAATCTGAAAATGCACTCGCCTTCACCAAAGCCCTGCAGCTGTGAAATGTGCCAATGTACGACTCGCAGCCTGAGCGGAACCCCACTCGCCACGCAGACAGGAGATGGAAGCATTCACTCAGCTCGATCGCGGCCTACTAGGTGAGGCGAACGATGCCAGCACCACGGAGGAGCCAGAATGCTGTAACTGTAGCTGTAGTAAACCTGTATGTTCTATTTCACGTCTCTGAGTCGGGGCCGATGATACACCTGATTCGCTCATGTTGGCTGCAGTAGTTGTCCAGCCTTGTTTCTGTCGCACGATTTCTAAGCTTATCTGAGTGATTCTGAGTGGCTGCACCTGCATCATGGCACGTCCGAAGCAGTGCATACAAGTACGCGGTCGAACGAAATATGACAGATTTTGCTGTGGCTTATGAACAAATTCGTTCCTGCTTCTTACCTGTCAGGAGATCTTGGAGAAGGCTGGACGCCTCGTTCGGATCGACGAGGTCACAAGTCGGGAATATGCAAATCTCATGCAGAATTGACACCATCAACCGCGCGTAAGCAAGCTGGTAATTTCAGGCAGCTTTTAAATGCTCCGCATGCACATGAAGGCGAATCTACTTTGGCCCAGGCTAGGGTAAGCTCGTTGGAAAGCCAGCTGTTGCCCGATGCCTGTCTCTGTCTTAGGTTTCTGCAAAAGCAGGCCGCAAGCACCGCCTCTCCGTGCGGGCCGTTGTGGCCACTTGGACACGAAGTCCGGCACAGTTGCCTCAGTAGGTACGCACATTCAGCTGGTGGCACTGGGCCTAGGCCTGAGACGAAGTGCCTAGTGGACAGACTTGGGTTCGTGACTGCAAGGAGAGCCTTGACATCGCCAAAAGCGCCAAGCGGCGGCGGCTCTCCAAGCAGAGACCATGACTGGCTTGGCCCGGGAGTGGGACAGAATCTGAGGATTCATTTTTTGAAGCCGTCCCTCGGTTCTCAGCTCGCTTGTCAAAGGCAGTCTGCACGATCAACTGGCATTTAAGATTGGCGAGTTGGTCCGGTTCATAATCTGGCTAGTTCTGCTGATGGCCTGAATGGCGCAACAGCCACTGCTAGCCCCGGTTTTCACTCGCACTTAGCATCATTTCACCCATAGCATGACCCTTAGCGTTGCTACTGCCTCGAATCGTGACCAAAGTGGACCACTGCGAGCATCATTATTTTGTTAGACTCTGCGCGCTGTCGTGTCAAAGTAGTCTTACACGCAGTCTTCGCATTGATTCCATTTAGAGAACCCCCACGCAGATTTTGAAGTCGCAGAGTCTGAACGGAAGAGATTGCCGGCCATTTCCGCACTCCGCCAGGAAGTGCTGAAGTCTCAAAGAGTACTGCAGTAATTCGGAAGCGATGTCCTGACTCTGACTCAGATGCTCGTGCTGTTCGGATTTTCAGGTTGCCCACCCATGTTAGTTAGTGATGGTGCCTTTGAGGTCTGAGCATTCTTTCCATCATGCGACTGTCTGAACCCAGCTAGAGCCGATACCAGTTGAGACTCTTCGAACCGGGAGTATAGGATTGGGCCTGCTTTTGAATCGATTCAACGAGTTAGGTCCTGAATGTTTCCAGCAATCACTCTATGAGCACTCATGGCGATACTAGTGGCCGTCCCAAAGACTGCCCCATCCGTAAGTAGGTCTCAGGGACGGGTGGAAGGAAGTTTTTGTTAGCGCTCCTTGCGAAACAGCACCCGAGCTGTGACAGTCAGAGCCTGTGTCACGAGGCCATGGGTCCTGTGACCATAAACCCTTAATCCTCCAATCCAAGGCATTCAGCCGTGAGACTGGGGGGTGTTTAGGGTTCAACGTGTCTTTGTCTCAAGAAGATCGACCCGGCCTTGGCCAGCCGTGCCCAGGCATCCGGATAAAAGGCTGCATCCCGTGAAGGATTGCGACTGCAAGCTGCAGTGGCCAGAGCGTGTTCGGGCCGGAAGGTGGACTTCAGCCAGAACGACATGAGCGACCGAGCGCTGTGGATGCTGTTGGATTGCCTAACTCAGTTTGAGGCTGGGCTATGGAGTGGCGGTTCCAGTAGAGATATTGCCTAGCTCCGGAATGTGTTTGGCAGGTGCAGGCCAGCTACCTCAAGCTCAACAGCAACAGGACAACAAGAAGTCTCTGCACCTTTCACTTTGTGTCGGACCTGGGTGTGGGGTTGGGCACCAGCCGTGCATTGGTGCTGTTGTGAGCGTGGCGTTCCAAGTCAGGATTTCAGGGGCCGGAATGTTGGCGCTTTGTGCTTCCGCCACGCTTGCGTTGTAAGACTGAGCATAGCTGCCCGGCTGAAAACATGCAGTCTTGAAGTTTCAGTTGCAGATGAGGGCCAAGCATATGGCGACAGGTGAGTTCATTCGGAACAACAAGCGCGGCTTGCTTGGGATGCACAGTCGTTGTGGTGAAAACCGACTGCAACACTTCACGTCATCATTCTGCACGTCCTTCCCTGCTCTGCTGTTGAAGAGTATTTGAAACAGTTCGCGAGTGGAAGATTCGTCTCATTCCTGCCAGAACATTGCAAATCAAGGCGCGGGCCAGATCTATGAGCTGCACTTGTCGCAGAATGAGGCGACTCCGCCCCCAGAGTTCAGCAAACACTCGGACTGTGACGACTGCCATTGAGTTCTGTGTTGGTAAAGCCAAGGACAGTTCATAACCGGCTTGCACCTGCCATCAAATTTAGCTGGGCTTGGATTGAACGCAGCCGCCCACACACGTGTAGGCATGCCGAGTTGCAGAAGTCAGCCGTACCAGCCTTCCCATCAGATCGATGATGCATCAGCGTTGGAGTTGTTCCGGACGCTGAAGGAGCTGAAGCACAGGTGCCCTGAACTCCAGGTCAGAGAGCGGACAGTGTTCACAGCCCGTAAGGATCTTGATGAAGTCCAGCTTTACCGTGTTACACCTGTATTACGACACGGGCATAAAATAAGCGAGTGCTACCTGCAGTGCGTAAGGTGGCGAGTGTTGGTTTGCCAACCGCGAACCATGCCTGTAAAGCTAAGGACCTACCCGAGTGTCCAGTTACAAATTCAGTGGCGCTATCGTCATTTTATTCAAGTGTAGGCTGACAGCCAGTCGGACGTGCAGGGCAGGGCTTGGCTGGCCGAAGCCTGCTCCGTAACCAGCAGGTACCAGATGGAAGCGTTCCGCAAATTAGGGGGTACCTACTATAAGGGTTCCTTTAAAGGGCTCCATAACGGTTTGGAGGTTCCGAAAATTATCAAGGGGTCCTTATAATAGGATTCTACTATATAGGGTACTAAGTTAGGGTCCCCCATTTTCGGAAACGCCCAGATGGACAGTACTTAGTACTCATTACTCACCTGCAGATGCTTCAAACTTTAGAAGAGGAGCGATGAGCATGCTGATTATGATGGTTTGAGAACAGCCACACAAGACCAAACCTGCACCTACAGGTACCCACCGAAACGGGAGATTCACGGATATGAAGGCCACGCGTCATGCAATCAGACTGTTGCCCCTTCCACCTTCGCGCTTCATGTCTGGTCACGCTGGATGCAGCCAAAAAGGAGCCGGAGAGAGTGCATTTCTGTTTGGCAGGCCTGCACCTTGTTCCACTTTGGTTGCGGCTGAGTCGAAACAAGGCACTATCTGCCAGCCGAGCGTTGCAGGTGTTGTAGTCCTGCTTGCCAACCTCGGCTTCAGATTGTTTCAGCGTCATTCATGTCCCCCTGCGGCTCCTGTTGTTGTAGGATGCTGTTATCAAGCCAGTGCCGTTCGGAGAATCAACATGTCAGCAGCAGCTTGCAGCTAGTGACCTAGGATAATCAGGACGGACGGCAGGGCAGGCGCAGCACTGTGTGAGACTTGACTTGATCGCAGATTCGCGACCCTGCCGCCCTTCTTGAGACTCTGACGGCGCAGTGCCCGGCACGTCACCATGTCAGGGCTAGTCCTCCCTAAGCCGTCGGAGATCAGTAAACTTCGTACGTAAGAACGACAGCAGTCCGACATCAAACAAATGCCCAGAATCCCAAACGTCTCATTGGTTGGAACCGAGGGTGTCGAGTATCAGCCACGGAGGTGAAGTCTGGTTGAAGTGAGCTTGCCTGTGAGAAGCTGCGCAAGGCAGAAGGAACGAGCAAGACATGGCAAGACCGGTCGACTTCGCCACCCCAAGCAGTTTTTAGAAGAAAGAACCAGGACCCTCCTTGTACCCTCAAATAGGGGTATATGGTCCCAAATAAGGGCCATTGAGGGTCTAATTGAGGGTAGATGGAGAGTCTAGGAATTGAATGTGAAAGAAGCTGTCATGTCCGAGGCCGAGGAGATCACATTCTGTCCTGCATTGCGTAGGGACGGATGTGGACCGGGGTACTGTTCCTGGCCATGCGCTCGGCGGGTGAGAAGTTAGGCTCCTGGAGCTCAGATCTTGCTTGCCATGTGTACCTGGAAGTGTCATGGAGAAGCCTCGCTTTTAACTTTCCAGCTTCTGGCATGGGACATGTGCCCCAGCGCTGAAGCTGCGGAGGGAAAGCATCAAAGCATGTCCGCCGTGCATCCAGGGAGGACACCCCGCTGGTTCACCTGCCCTTTTTCTCAGAGCAGGCGCCGCCATGCGGAAAGTCGTAGTGGGTGCATGGTAATTGTTACTGGACAGGCTGAAGTTGTCGCTTGGGAGCTCTGTTCCTGTGAGTAGAACCATCTTTTCCCTGGGCGAGGATGTAGCAAAGCAGGCTGTGGTCCGTAAGTATCGCCGGAAGTCGAAGAGACTGATTGAACATGCTCCTTGTAATTGTGCTTGGGGCTTGTACTGGGTTCAAGCGTCAGAGGTCGCGGAAGAGGAAGTGGAGCACGATGCTGCCTACCCTGCAGAAGAGGCCCGGTAGAAGTGAAAAGCTGCAAAGATGCGCCTTGAAGCGCTTCCCCAGGCCAGCATCCTGTTCTTTGATAGCTGTGACCACGCGCCTTTCCGGCAAAACCTCCCTTGATCTGATCTCCCCCTTTCCAGGCATACGATCGCGATGCCGATGCTCGAGGGCCTGGCATGTTGAAGTTTTCAATTGAATAATATTCATAATATATATATATATATATATATATAGTAGGACCTTCATAGTAGCCCTATTATAAAGCCGTCGCGCTCATGGCATGGCATGGATGGCTCAAAGCAGTCCTGGGTAGATTAGAGGAGCTCCTGAGCTCGAGGATTGGGGTTCAAGCGGAAGGAGACACGGCCTGGACTACCAAGATGGATTAAGATCACCTCACCTCATTTTCGGTGGACAGACCTCGCTGCCCGAAGAGAGTCGCCATCCTTCACGACTGGAGAGTTTCGTAGCAAGGTTGCGGTATGTTGCGATCAATGCCTATCCTCGTTTGACCCTTCGCTAGGAGTCAAGGTCGTTTCCGCACGCCCTAAGCCGCCAGGTGAGCACAGGGACCGGCCCCGGCGCCGGGGAGGGCGAAACCGCAACCGCTGGAAAGGCAACTTGCGTGAAAGAAGGTTGCCATCAGGGAATGTTTGTCATCAGGGATGTAAGGACTGTCATGATGAAAGCACGTGCGTTAACTTCAGCTCTCCTCGAACATGATTTTTTGTAGAATTATGGGCTTTGCTTGTGGTCTGCTCAATCCTGCTGCGGTGCGGCATGCCTTGCCCGACCATCCTGCATCCTCAGATGCCCTTGCGGGTATGAAGCGTGGCTCGCAGCATGTCACGCAGCATGATGCCAAACTCCAGTTCTAAACGTAGAGTTCACCGTCTCCACCGTGTGATGTTGGCTTCTCAGGCACGGGAGAAGTCGCCGAGGCCTGGGTGAGGCCCCGGGCGCATCCGAGCGTGAGATTCCTCTGCTCGTAGGACTGAGATGCGCTGCGCGCTGCCTGTGGGGCGGCCGGGGAGAAGATCCGCTCTGTCTTTACCTTGGCTCTGGTCGTGGCTGTAGGTAGGATGGTCGTGCGTTCCCGCGATTTGGGGGGCTTCGTCGTGGCGGCAAATTGTAATGTTAGACTTCTTCGCACCCCGATCTTGAGTCTGGGCAAGCTTGAACTCAAGATCTACTGAGGTAAAGTTGGGTTGAAGCTGCTTTTCGAATTCAAGGAATTGGGAACCCGCGCAATGATGTTTGGGGCCCGTGCTCCTGAAGAAGCTGGAAGGGCCAGTCGGAAGAACGAGCTGTGGGTTGAGTGCACCTGTTATAGGCTGCCTTGTCGGTGGGCTGGACTGGAAGTTTGTCACATTATGCCGCAGTGCGCACCGGCTTCTTCAAAGATATTTGCGCTACTAGAGGTTCCCTGCTGCATGTAAGGCAGACAGTTGCTTTCAGGCGAAGCAAAACCTGATGCTGGTCAGCAGAAAGCAGAAGGGACCTCATTGCGGCGACCACATGTGCCGTTCGACTTGCATGTGGCCACGATACTGCAGGTGTTAGACCAGCATGCCAGCGTATGTTGGTTGCGGGTGAGGTCCTAGGTGCTTTCTGTTCTGCAAGCGTTCCAGTTTCCTGGTTTGAGCAAGTGACCCCAACAAAGCACAAGTACCTGCACTTGCTCGTGTCATCCCTCTTGTCCATCACCATTCTCGGTCCGGTTTCGGCATTCGGCACCAGCTGCGTACGGCCTAGAAAGTGTGACAGACAATCATCACTTTGCTGGATAGTTCATCGTGCTTCGTTGTATATGACAGTCCACGGACATCAGGGGGAAGTTGCGGCAAACCATGAAGCTCGATTGATGTAGCAAACACCATCAAGGCAGTTGCTCCGGTTGGCCAGCGGTCCTTAGCAGAAATTGCGAGCCGAAGAGGCGGTCGCTCAAGAGGTGGCCAATCCTTCAAGGGGTTTAACGGTTTAGGGTTCAGTCCGTAAATGAGCTGGGAAGAGGCCTTGCAGGCTGGATGCAAAAAGGGTTAAGTCCGTAACTCCTGGACTCGAGGGCGGAAAGGCTTGATCAGAGCATTCGGCCTGGCGTTTGACTATATTGTACAAACCCTGGACTCAAAGAGGTCATGGCACAGCGGGCCAAGACGCTCCCGCGCCCTTTGCACCGACACATCATGCAGGTCGCGTTTCGAAGAACCCTGTTGTTGTAGTGCTTGCACGACGGGCCACCTTCCTGCGAACCAAAAGCTACATAAATTAAACGTGCGGTGTGCAAAGTGCAATGCGGCCGGCCTGCGTCCAAAGTGCTGGCGCATCCTCCCACAAGGCAGGCAAACGAGCTCATGGAGGAACATGAGGCCGTCACTGGACGCTCAGAGCTGTGTTGGCTGCTGACACCTGCAGTTCCCATAAGAAAGCAGGAGGATGTGCTGCCCTGAAACATGGCCTCCGCTTTCGCTAGAGTTTTTTCCGACTGTGACTGTGGAAAGCTTTGTTTGGCCGTTGTTGCCGCTTGACGCCAGGAGAGCTGTGCCCGATGTCATACTATAGTATTGTATGTCTCGTGTTCCGGAGTTATTACTGCTTCTCGCTAACGTTCTTGCCCACCACAGGGCCTGTTGCTTCGAAGCGAAAAGAATAGCGAAAGGCAGATGCCGTTGCTAGACGGACAGCCTGGTGTCTGCTGCCGACGCAGACGCATACAAACCAAGAAAGTATGTGGTGTCATGCCGTAAACCTGCAAGAAGTACATTCGGGAGATTTCGGGGACTAGTGGCCCTTTCATGCTATCTGTTCAAGATATCGGAATGTGATGTAGAACATGGCAAATCAGAACCTCGGCGGACATCCAAACTGCTGAGTACATCGAGCACAGCGCCATTCCTGTCGCACATGCTGTTGAGCATTGCTTCTGGCAATCCTGGCCAGGACATACACTTCACTACACTGGTTCATGCAACCAGTACGCAGCATGCATCGAGATTGATTCACATCTTTGGTGCTGTGGCTGCAGGAGCAATTCCTAGCGGTGTGTTGGGCGAGTTTTCGGCCACATAAGAGCCCCCCTTCGAGACAGGTGGTCAAGGAAGGTTTCACGAAGTGTTGCACGTTGCTACTATGTGGCCTCCTTGGCTGGCGCATTCCCAGGACGGTGTGTCCCATGGAAATGTAGACGATTCATTTTAAGTCTCAAGTTCGTGTGTCCATAGAAGCTCGGGGTGCGGAGGATCTCCACTGGGCGATTCAAGACCAGGCTGACTTTCCTCGTGAAGGAGCCCTGAATACAGAGAACTCGCAGCAGTTGCTGATGTCCACGAATGCATTGGGTGCACGGGAAAGTCAGCGGACACTTAGCCGCCGGCTCCCTGAAATCTCCGGGGATTGAAACAACTCCCAGAGTCGAGATGCGAGCCCCCCGCCCAGACCTCCAGTTCTGCGGGCCGAAGCTGGAACTGGGGCTGTGAGCTGCGGGCTCACATTTTGACCGGCCAATTTAAAGTGCGGTCAGTTCGGGCCGAGCGCGGAGACGTCATGGAAACGACGCTGGAAGGAGATTTGAAGATGCCTGTAGCACCATCCTGTACAAGTTGCCGGTAGTGTTGCCTTCGTGGGTGCGTCGAGAGCTTGGTGCAACCTTTCAGCACGAATGACGAAGCCTTTGAGCATGTTCGCGCCCAGAGCACAAGCTCGTTCAGGGAAATCTTTGTTGCCTCGAGCCTGGTTGAACTGCAGCCAGTACTCGGAGGCACGATCCCCCGTTTCGCCTGCCTTCGGCTACAAGGCAACTGCAGCTAGAGTTAAGTCTCGTCAAGTTGTGCGGCCTCGCTCTCCTTTGTGAGAACTCGTGCCCAAGGCAGGGCGAAGCGACCTTTCGAGTCTAGAAGGAGTGTGTTCCCGTAAAGCCGTAGGACGGCATCTGTATATATTGGAACGAGTACACGGGCATCCGCAGGGAAGATGTTTTCCTGATTGCTAGCTCTTGTTCGCAATGGCTCTGGAAATTGAACTGCTGTCTTGTTGGCACCGTGGGTAGCAGTTCTGCTTAGTACGTCTGCAACATGATTCAATAATATCAATAATATATGCTGGGAGCGCATATAGAGCGGAAGCATCTTCACGACGATCCTGCTAATGGAAACGCAGTGTCGTGCGGACACTACTCGCTCACAAGGGAGAGAGCAGTCAGTTCATTCAGGTACAGTAGATTTGGAAAGACAGGACTGCCCAGGATGTAAATGCCAGGAATTAATCAGGTTCCAATGGCTTCCTGCTCAGCCAGGCTCTTGTAAGTACAGGCTATCAATGGCTCCAGCATGGAAGCAACGCTTGCCTCCCACACACAAAAAACCCTTTCCCTGAAGCCTTGAAATTGGGATGCAGACTTGGACCAAAATTCTGACACCTCCTCTGACTGCTTGCTGCATTGGAGAGCCTGAGTGAGACCCTGAACAGTTGCCAGGTCCGTCAACTCAAGCCGTGCCGATCAGGCTAGAGTTTGCGAAGCAGGATGCAAAAGAGCAAGCTGAAGCCCAAATCGGCCCGAAAGAGGAAGCGGTTGGTACTGTAAAATCTAGCCGGCAGTCACCAAGCACACACCCGCCAATTGCTTTCCTGGATCCTTGCACAGATACTTGTAGGAAAAGAAACCTATCATACAAAGAACTTGCACCGAATTCCTGTCCGTCTATCGTTCCGAATTTGACCAGGAATGCGTAATGCGGCTCCCCCTCTCAGCGTCCAGACCTCTCTCCCTGTGTGGCGGGTTAGACCTTGCAATGCAGGAGGCCAAAAACGCCCTTTGGGTCATGACGTCGCATCGGAGCTGTGCACTCCGGGGTTCCGCGAAGCCATGTGCATCTGTGACCTAAGAGCAGGAAAAGGCTTCCTTTTACGGTCCGGGGTTCGAGGCCGCTGTTTGACGGGCAACTGACTGTAGGTTCCTGGCTGCATCGAAAGCTTCGGGCACATTGACACGGCCGAATACTGCACACTGAACTTCAATTGAAAAATGCACATGAGAGGCAGCACAACTCCTCCAGTCTGTGGCACCCTGATTGCTTATGGCATGACACAAAGCTGACGACTCCTCAAACCTGCTCACGGTCACAGACATCGGCAGAAGGCTGCGATCAATGATGAGTCGGATCCTTGCATGTGCCCGGCCACGCTGCACTAGTTGCCGGAAGAGAAAGCACTAGACATCACGCATCAGCGTAACGGCTAGGACATCTCTATCCAGTCTTGTCGAGGAGCTGGGCGCAGTAAGTGCAGGAATTTCGCAACGGCTTAGGCGACTGCAGTTGCGTGATAGAGTGGCTTTGACGACTTCTGTAGATTGCAGCATATGGAGGCAGTATCTGCAGAAAGGAGCGATGATTCGGCTTTTCAGGAGATTGACCGGGCTCTTCGAGCATGTGACATGATCCTGGGATAGCTGCGCTTAAGCATGTAAACGCTCAAGTTCTCTTGTTCAAGCTCTCTGCACATCAACGGAATCGTCAGAGCCGGCTTGCTTGAACAGGGCGCCTCGTGTACATAAGTCAGCAGCCCGTGGCAGAAACCGCACCCGCTGCACGACGCGCATTTTAGCGATGAGCTCCTTTGTCCTTGTCAACGTCGTGGGTGGGGCCATTTACCTTCTGTGCCAGCTCAGAAACTCATCCCCACGTGCTTTTTGGGGCCATACAAATGCATGATGAACGTGACCTCATGGCATGGTTGGAATGGTCTGACCCCTGGATATTACCACGCGACGCATCAGAAGCTGTTACGAGGCTTGCAAGCTTGGAGGCTCAACCTTGTGAGAGCAACCTCTACTTCTTAAGCAAATGAGCAAGCAGATGTCTTTTGTATTCACCTGCCGACTAATTAGAGGCGAGTGTATTGACTGGTGCGTGTCTCTACGCAAATGTAAAATCTGCATCTGGCCTGACACACGTAACGTGTCGTAAAGTATCGAAATTTAAGTATATTGCCAGGTATATTT